GCGGGGGGCGTCCAGAAGTAATGGCTCTGCCAAGTCCTGGGCGTCCCCCAAGTAAAGCACAGCGCAATCCACCGTGTGGTTTTAGTGCTGTAAGCCCAGCGGTCGCAATGTCAACGGCCGCACCCGATCGCCATTAGAGGGGCAGTCCCACATAACCCGGGCCACTTAATGTAAACTCCCTTCCCGGAGGGTGGCCCGGGTATCCATAAAGGATTTCCACATGTAAAAAAAAAAAAGCCTCCGACGAAGTGGGCGCTCGCTCGCGTGGTCGGCACCCACCCGGGTGCCGATGGGCTCGTCAGGGTTGCCACCATTAAGACCGCGAACTCGGTGCTGAGACGGCCGATCGCGAAACTCATACCGTTACCGGTCAACGACGGGGCCCAAAGGGGCTAACTGATGCCTGATCGTTCTCGGGCCGACCCGCGAGTTTCGTACGGCGGGCGGTCCATCATTGCATTTCCGTCTGTTTCGTCGCAAGGACGAGGCGGGCGGTATGTTCCGACCTCGGTGGAACGTTCTCGGCGCTTTCTGCCGATCGCTCGGTGGATTGTTCTCGGCGCTTTCTATCGCCTTCCCGGGTATCATACTTGCCCGTAAATATTGTGAGCATGATGTCGCCCGGCTCGCGTTCTTCCCGCCCCATCCCCCGTGCCCGGGTGGACCGAGTAGCCTAGTGGCCGGGGGCGTGGGGGACGGGGGTGCGACGAGGCCGGGCGGCAGCATGATTCGGCGAAATCCTCGCAGTCTACGCGGAACGACGAAAATAGGCTTGTTTATCGCTGCTCTCGGAATTCTCGTCCGTACTCTCGAAAGTCTCGCGTTCCCGCGCACGAGTGTTCGACCTCGCAGTCGCGCGTATTCGACTCGGGTAGCCGATTGCACCTGTAAACGTGCAATAAAGAACAGTGCAATAAACCAGCGGAGTGATCCTTTAAACTGTGCTCGTCGCTCTTTTGTGTGGCCGTCGCGAGTTCCTTCCGCCCGGCGCCCTCCGGCTCTCCCGCTCCTATTACTGACCGGTCTCTCATTTCGTGGACCCCGCTGCCTGATCGGACCTGATCGGCAAGGGTGAAACAATAATTTTTGTGACCGTTTGCATTGCGGTAGATAGTTTTACAACTTTCCCACATAACGCTTCTAGATGAATAATGCAATGTAAGACAGGAAACTTTAAACCTCGCTGCTTTAGTTGACCGAAAAATCCATTTTTCGAGCCTATCATTGCCTTTGCGCCATCGGTCACAATAGCCGAACATTTACTTAAATCAATGTCAAATTTTTCGACAGTTTGGTTGACGGCTTTGAAAATATCAGATCCCGTTGTTCTACTATGTAGTGGAACAAAATCTAAGAGCTCCTCGACATGTGAAAAATCGTTTTGTACGATTCGACCAAAAATACTCAATTGACTTACATGCCGATTATCGGTGCTCTCATCGAGACACAATGAAAAAAAGCACAAGATTGCAATAGAGATTTTAATTGGTTTTCTAAAGAAGAAGCAATATCGTTGATTCGAGATTGTACTGCTATATTATTTAAAGGAATACTAGCAACTTCTTCCAGAGTCAATGATTTTCCGAACGACTCTACTGCTGCGATCAGGCATTCTTTTATCAATTTTCCTTCGGCAAACGGCTTGGAATTTTTCGCGATTAAATGGGAGGTAGCATATGATGCTCTAACAGCCTTTTCTGAAGGTGTAGCATTATCGATATAAGAATTCGAACTACAACCTTCTTGATAAACTAATTTTAATT